CGCTACTAACTTGAAAAGCTGTTTTTAGTATGGCAGTCCAGTCATTTCAATATCTGCGTATCTTCAAACAGTCCCTTGAGTTTAGAGCAAGACTTTAAGAAATTGCAGATTCTAACAAGAATGGAGAAAGTGCCTTCTATAGCACAGAAAATATGCTTTGTCTACCAACTCGCTAGTTCTAGATAGCATCTTTGTGTAGTTGACCATGCAGCTAATAGTGACTCCTGTATTCTCTCCTGTTTTCTTCCTTCCTTCATCTTGCCACCCTGGAGGGAGCAGCAGGTAGGACTTGCATCCTGGTCAGATTAGGTCCACTGAGTATTGTAATCTGCTCAGAACCCACCATACAACAGATGTTGAAATAACCTTGTTGCCGTAGAAAGCTTCCTCATTGCCTCCTGTGATTTAGTTTGGCTTATACTGATTGACTTCCTTCTACTGTCTTCCCACATGCAATCCTTTAAGTGTTGCTGGATTTTACCATTCCTCCTGCTCTTAGCTGAATCTTCAGTGTGCTGTGCTGGTTATTGGTGTTTACCCTGGAATATAGGTACATACTGCCTGCCAGTGGATAACACTGTTTTTTCTCAAATTTCGCTAATATGGTATAGTAGAGGCTCTCTGTACTTGGCATATGTCCAGTTCATGTTCCATTGGAATGGATCTCAAGGATGCAGACAGCTTCTGGGGGAACAGCATGACCAGGAAAACACAACAGTAAATCTCGTCTGAATGACCAGATGCCAGGATATACATAAAAAATAATTCCTATGCCGGAGAGATGCAAAAATCTTTGAATGAGTTAACTGTCTGAGAGTGAGACTGACTCTCAGCCTCCACAGACTATTGTTCTCTCTGCATCTATAAACTCAATAGAAGGCAGGCGTGTATTAGTCTATCTCGGGTGTACTTACTTCACTTAATTCCTGAATATTTGTTTCCCCTGTGATCTAACTCTACTCAATGTAGCATATACAAGTTTTAAAGGAGCAGAGTTGCAGCCTTCTTTCTGTAATCTCCTCTTTCCATAGATCAAAACACTGTTTAGACTTAATCACAGAAGTGGTGCAACTGAAGTTTAAGCATGGTAATAGCATTGCTCAATCTTTTTTCTTCTTTGCAAAATATAGAGCTCTATGAGAAGACATATGATGATGGTAAGAAAGTAATCTACTGGGAAGTGAAGTACCCTTTCCCCCTCTCAAACAGAGATGTATCCTTTTAAGCCCCTCTCCTCCTTGTTTTTGCCATCCAGACAAAAACTTTTTTTTTTGTGTGTGTGTGTAGCTGGACTTCTGAAAAGCTTGGTGTGGTTCTTTTACTCTGTTCATCTCTTGCTGTTGGCATAAAATAATCAGAAGCTAAATTGGAGCGAAGTCCTAACTCCTAATATCAAGAGTCAGATCCTGTGGTTATGATGCTAAATGAATGCATAATTTTGCTGCCATGTAACAACTTCACTGGTACTATGCAGGAGTGAAGAATTGTGGTAGTTGTTAGGATGGCACACCCCAATAGAACAATAATATTTCAGACTTATTACAACAGAGCTAGGAGTTCCTGAGTGCTCCCACAATAAACATTTATTTTGAAACGGGTGATTCTTGGCATTTGTCTTCAACTGCAAGTACAGTATGTGTATGTTCGTGAACGACGAGAAATGGATGTCAGTGGGCGGAAGGTTTGGATTGTACTGGCCAAAAGTGTATGTGTTCCTCAGTGCCCAGAAAAGCCTGGCATTATCAGAGTGAAGAGTTATGAACAAACCCTAGTGATCGAGAGTGATGGCGAAAGTGGATCCAAAGGTAAGAAACTTGAGTATTCTTCTGGGTAAGTTGGTGGATCCAGATTTTTTTTTTTCACGTTTCTTGCCAAGGGAAGATCAGTTTGCAACCAGGTAAAACAGGAGAGGCTTTAAGGTGCTGACAATTGGTTCGTCTCTTCAGAGCAGCAAAGAACCCAAAATATTCTGAAGATCTGTGCTAAATACTGCATGTGGTGAAACATTATATTGGACTTCACTTGATTTATAGTGACTTCATTTTACCTCTAATGAACCAATAATGATACTCCATATCTACTGAACTGGGGGAAGATGACATTTGACTTGGATAACTTTATTACCCAATTTCTGTCACTAAGCATCTCTTCCAGCACCTGCAGGGGTGTAGGTTGGAATCTTTATATAACTATCTTGTTTGAAGTTTTAAATAGGTTAGAGGGCTTGTCTCCCAGTATAGACATTCCTTGTATACATGCTATTCCAAAATAAGAGGGCTTTGTACAGAAATAGTTGTCTAAACTGTGTGTACGCATCACATAGTCTCCCTATCTCTGGAGTAAGTAGATTTACTTGGGGAATGCAGCTGTTCAATAAATGTTTTCATACCATCTCTTAATTTAAACTAACCTGGTTTGGATCTTGTATTGAAACTGTTAGTTGGTAACTAGTAAGGCTGTGCAAAATTTAGCTGGATGTTTCAATTCGACACTTTCGATTCATTCAGAGCTCGAAACAGCAAAATCAAAATGAAGGGCTTTGAAACAGCCTTGTTTTGTTTCGAGGCTAGTTTAGATGTTCCGAGTGGTGTTTTGTTTTGTGTGGTTTTTTTTTTTTTTTTTTTTT